TTGCCCTTTTGAGCAACAATCTGGATATATTTTCTGTTTCAAGGCCAACATGATTTATCAAGTTTCTAACGCTATATTTTGCAGCTGGGCATTATTTTTTGTGCTCACAGGTACACTGCATGTTAATTAGTTTTGTTTACCTATGCATATTTTTTCTTAATTTCACAACAGTAGTTTTTGTAATTGACAAAGCAATTTACTGCATGTGTGCTTTCTGCACCCCAGACAAATACTCCGACATGTAATGCACCTTTCTTGCCAGTTCAGATTGTTAAGAAAAGAATTAGTTGTGACTAATTGCCAATTAATTTGCAGTGGTTTTAGGGAGGAGGGGGGGAAAACAATTGCACCTACTAATTAAAATTTAAAATATTCCAAAGTGTCATCTTTAGGTGTCTGTGGAATACATAATTTCCATTTTAGTTCTGCACTGGATCTGTAACAACCCTGAGCTTGACAGCTCTATTAATTTAAAACCTCAGTGATACCTATTAGTACAAAACATGAAAAAAATGCCATTAATCATTTATTTTAATTTTGCAGCTCTGTCATTTTCTCGGTATGTTTAAAAATTATGATGACACTGTAATGTTTTCCAATCTACCTGTGTGAAGGGGAAACGGATCACACTACTTAGGAGAGAGACTGGAGTATATTATTAGAGCTTAATTAATGCCAAACTGATTAGATTTGATTGCACTTTGCACAATAATATTGTTAAGAAATTTATTTAAAAGACGTGTTGCGTAACGCTATATTTAAAACAACTGGTCTAGATCTGAAGAGATTTTGACCAAAAAACCCACAGAATGCAAGTCACAGGTTTAATTTTCTTTAGCGCTGCCTACATTCTATAGGTCTTACTATGATACCCAGTACAGCTCTTAATCATCTATGGAAAGATGAAACTATTTGGTGCTCCTGTGATATAGAGGTGTCACATCTCTCCCTTTCCTGTAACGGGAGCAGCTTATGGGCATCTAGACTGTGGGGAAATGCTTATACCCTCAAAACTACCAACATCCAAGCCCTGCTGATAACATGGGAAAAAGTGATTATAAACTAACAGATCCAACTCGATAAGTTTTATTCAGACAGTTTTTTCCCCTCTGTCCTTAAAATACAGGGTTTCTTTCTTTAGAAGTATTATAAGCAGAACTGATTATCTTTTTTTCCAGTTTTCTGTTGTCATTGAGCATTGTAGTTAGTACCTGTACTTATAGCACCATGTTTTGTATTAATACTAAATATTTAGGCATACTGTAAAGTCAGGAACAGGAAGGTAACCAGCAAATATTGTAGAAAAAGGAACACGAAAGCAAAATTGACTGACCCAAAGGTACAGTTATCACACTAAAATTATTGATGCTTACTGCATTTCATTTAGTGGATGCATTGTATTAATGTAGCTTCAAGGCGTATTTTGAAACTCTGACCTGCTCCTGAAACAAATAAATATCTTGTTTATGCATTTATAAATACCTTCAGTATCACAAATTCAGGCTTCTCCTTTTTCGGAAAATTTGCTATTGACAAATAGGGAGCAATTACCATCTTGTCTTTTAAAAATTATGCTTTTTTTTAATTAGATCTGGTGTTCCTTCCCATGAATACATCATTGGACACAGTTTCTAATACTGGAAAGGTGATTTCAAAATTGCAAATGCAGTATTTTTCTGCTAAACCTATTTACTAGATATACCAGCCCTTTAAATTTCAGTGATCATGAACTCATAGGGAAAAATCCTGGCTTCAGTTAGAGGATGCGAGTTTTGCCATTGGCTTCAACAGTTTGAGTTTAGCCTATAATGTTGTCTATTGGGCTTACAGCAAAGATCCACAATATCTTAGCAATTTGTGAGAGCATTTACTTTACCCCTAAATGAAATTTTGTTATTTCCTCATTTTGCCTATTTTTAAATATAAATTTGTGCCAAATATGGCAAATAGAAGGTTGTTTTTTACCTCCAGCAGCACTTCAGGCACTCCCCTAGTTTATGTCTAAAATGTCCTCCATATTTTTTGTACATTATTAATTTTGTAAGTTATTAATATAATCTCTTTTTCTCGCATGAGTGTATGTAAATCACAGATTCACTTAGGAAAAATGAAAAACAAAAAAATAATGGGTCTTATTTAAAGCTTTTATAACTGTTGTGTTTCTGTTAAAACAGACATGAGGTTTCTTGCTGGATGGAAGAGAAACTGAATGGTAAAAGTTAGTCTTTAGACACTCCATGTGCATGCACATGGAATCTATATTCCTATCTAAAAGCAGCAATTTCTTTATTTTTAACTAAACTAAATATTGGTTACTTGCAATTAAAGATTTTTGTCTTTTTTTATTATTATTTTTGTCCATTTTAGTCCCCCATACAGCACTTTCTGTAGGTGATTTGTTTAGTCCTACTTTGACCTACATTATTTCTCTTCCTGAGACCCTCAGTGCTGCTTCCCATCTCAAAGTGTGTACTGTCACTTGTCACCCAGCCACAGCACCAGCTCTGGCACTGCTGCCAGTACAAAAACAGAAGCAGAAGTGAAAGTGCAGGGCAGAAATGCAGTGCCTGAGTCTTGAGAAAGACAAAATCAGCCTGTTTCAGTCAAGGTAGTGCAATGGTCCAGCCCCTATTACAGACATATTGATCTCTTTTTATCACCCAAAGATAAGAATTTTAATATTTATTATTTTTTTTCAGCAGGAAAGTAAGGAATCAATGGTTATTATTGTTAACCAATGCAACGTTAACATACGCTACCATGCATAAGTGAAAAAATGTACTTTACACTTTATTTTTGTATTTTCAGAATGTAAAGTATATATTACCCCACTGGAATCATGCCAATTTATAACAGTTGAAAATACATCTTGGAGAAATGCATATAGGACTCCAGCCCCACGTGCATGAGTGGTTAATCATGTTCAGGCATCTTAGCTCATCTCAGCTGATAGGATACAACATACTGAAGAGGTCATGGTCTCTGAAACAGATGGCTCAAGCCAAAAAAGAACATTAGAAATGATAAACATTTTCTCAGTATGTAATTGCATTCATCCTCAGCAGCATTGAGCAGCCCCAATCCAACAAGCAATCTGCATGGGGTCTCAGGATTACCTCACCTCTTCATACTAAAGCCATCTTTTGAGCTTTGCTCTTTTATTCATTTTAAGATGGAATTACTATGATTTACCTCTGAAAGAAAACTCTGAGGCCTTTCCTACTGCCACATCATGGCCAGCCCTTGCAATAAACTCAACCCTTATGGCTCTCAAAGAATTCACTCGCAGCAGCTGCAAATTACTTCATGTATTGATCCTCAGGAACAGGTTGATGTCATCACTGTTCCTGAGCCCCAAAATATGTCTTATGAAGCATGTGAAAGTTACTAAAATCCTTGAGGCAATTTTCCAGGGCCAGATCATCAGCTGGTATAAAGTGACATCAATGGAATAACGCCAATTTACACCAACTACAGATTTGGCTTCCAAAGTGGTGCCTGAAGCAGAATTTCTTGTGAGAAAATACACTGATGCCAGTCTTTGCAAGCGAGAGTTATTGTCTGCATGAAATTAATCTAAGTTGCCAAAAAAACCCCGTATGCTAAATTTGATACTAATGAACAATGTTGACAAAAAGAGGTCATGTATGAAATTTGAGACTAATGAACTAAGGTGGCATGGAAATGAGCATTTGGAGAGTAAAGCAAAGGCTCTAATAGAGTTAAAACAACCCACTCATTCCATTGAGATTTTGATGTTTCTGTCTCCTTATATCGTAAAGTAAATTTCCACCCCAAGAAATGTCCTGATCTATATTTTAATGAGCCTCTCCACGTGACATACATTTTTTTGTTTCATTACTATTAGTGAATGACAAGTGAAGGATATTCATTTTCACTTGAAAATGTCAGGTATGCACTTTAAGAGATATATTTTTCCAGTTTTTAATGAGGTGGTGTTTCTTTTTGAAAGAAATACCCATCTCTGATGTGGGTACTATGCAGGTGACAACTGATATTTAATAAGTGATGGTTCTTGTATTAGTCGTAGTTCACTAAAGAAAATGTCTCGGATTGCTTTTGAAAAACTCTTAGCATCACTAGCCCAAAGGCAAGATGTGACCTTTTTATTACATAATGAGAATCATTTATTATCTTACAATGTATCTTAAAGTCACAGACAAAATGCCACTTTGATAATTGCTTTCAATTAGCTTTGAGCATAGCATACATTCATAAAATGTCTTCTCTAATTTAGACTTGAATTAGAGAAAATTGCAGACATAATCTACTTTAAGGTTGTCTCATTTAAGGTGATTCGTAGTTTTATATCAAAGAAATCAAAACGGGTGGCTTTAGAGCAGTCTTACAAAGTGTCTTAAATAGGCTTTTCAATATTTGAGTCTATTCTATTAACAATTAATTAACAAATTAGAATGCTAGTTCATCTTTTTTGACCTTTTTTGTGTATTAACTTTTGAATTTCATTCCTAATGGTTGTTTTTAAATTAAGCAGTGTCCTGTGTTAAAAGAGAGGTACAGCTTGATTAGATGTATAAGTAAAGCATACAGAGACATAGCTTACATCTTAATAATAGGCAGCAGCTTGGTCTGTCAGTGTGTATGTCCTTTCCAACTTCTAAATTCTTATTTGTCTTGTAGATACGTAAAATATCAACAACAAGCAATAAATCGCACAGTCAGAAAGTAGTATCACATATTGGCATGCATTCTATTGCATATGATTTTTAATATTGATTGTGTATAATTTAAAGTATTTGTGGAAACATACTGCATATAGATGACATATTACATAGTGATTACATATAGATTGTTTTACTGCATATGTACCATCATATGTAAAAAATATAGGTATTTTCTTTTCGTCTTTGACTAAATGGAGAAGGTTTGGAAGTCATATATAAAGATAATTCAGACATCTCAGGTGCTTGGAATTGAACTAGCTCAAGGGATAACTCTGTTCTTCTTTCTTCCCCCAGATAAAAATTACTCACAAGAACCAAGCCCCCATGTTGATGGGACCTCCTCCAAAAACCGGTCTTTTCTCTTCTATCATCAAGAGAACAAGGAACCACAGCAAGGAATAAACCTATGTAGTTTAGTTTTTAGAAAACCAATTAGCTTTGTTGGGCTTTGGAATATTTATGCTGGAAATCTTTCAAGAATTTTAGAATATCTTCTACTTGCAAAATCATGGATTTTGGTTTAACAGTTTCTGTGACTGAGCTAATGTAAAACTATGCTACTAGAAAAAAAATATTGTCACAGTTTTGTAGGCATTTTGCATGATTAAAGCAGATGTTTACATAAAGTGATACAGCATATTTTTTGTTGCATGCGTTACCATGTACTAATCTATGGGCTAATTCTGCCATGGAATATGGGAAGAGAATGCCATGGGTATTTTGATTTTTCTGTCTTTTCCATTTCAACATTTTCTACTACAATGCTCATATGCCATAGGTTCATAGTATCTATTGAATCAGACATCTTCACATCAATAGCCAATTAGACCTGCTTCAGAGTAAAGTTTATTACAGGTCTCATTAACCTGTGCTTTTAGTTTATCATTTCTTTCTACCCTGACAGTATTTTTATTCAGCTAAGCATTAAAATCTTATATCTTATTCTGAAAACTCCTATGTATGTGAGTAACTGTACCTGCTGAAAATGCCTAACAATGTGTGCAGTATTCAAATGATCATGATTACTCTTGTGTAAGTTTTTGTAAGATTGGAAGTCAATGCAAGTTTGAGCAAAAACTGTAAGGCTAAAGAGATCGTGCTAAGAGTGAAGATAATAACACTTGCAAAGCTAGCTATTAGTGGTGTTTGTTGAAACACTAGATTTATTTTAATGAGCAATACATCTCTGTAACATGGCAAACTTTAAATCATTCTGCATATTGACCGATAGCGTAGTGCATATGCACACAAGTAACCAAAGCTCATGCCTAATAAAGTGCATTTCCCACCAAAGATTTAGTGAAGGATGCTTCAGAGAAATGGGTTAATGCATAATTAATCAAGCTCACTGGAGTAGACTCACTTCTGAAAATTTACAGTTCTTTTGATTACGTTGGCAATGTCCAGACAAATGTTGGGGTAGGAAAATACATTAAATTAATTGCAAGTAAATATTCACTTTTAATTTGTTTCATAAGTTGATAGACATAGACACCTACTCTAAATTTTGGAAAATAAACTTATATCTAATTTTTGTTGTCATTATTATTTATAAAGTTATGCCATCCATAATTTACTCATCCCCTAAATTAATTTCTTAAGGAAAGGATATAGCATTATCTATTCCCCTTTTGTAGTCTGCTGTCTGGAATCAAAACATTTCTCGTCATGACTTTTGGGGAGGCAGTTGCTCAGGTTTTTACTTTCTTAGCCTCTGAGAGACTTCCTAACAGCTTAGAAATCATAATACAGGGATTTGTCTGAGGTTTGCACAGCACTGTCTAATGTTGAAGGGAAGTCCAAGGATGGCAACTTTTTTCAGTCTCTTGCATATAAACGGTCTCAATTGAAACTTTTTGTGCAGTCTTAACATTGTTCTTTGTTCGGAGTGAGCTGCTTCTCAGCTCTGCATGTCTTAAGTTCTCAGAGATTTCATCGAAAAACAAACAAGGAAAAATAAAACTTTGCTTGAAATGCATGATTTCCCATTTTTATCTAGACTTTAAAACGTTAATGATTTATTAAATCTATTTTTCTATTGATTCATTCATCCATTAAAAAAAATAGTATTTCATCATTCTGTGGTGCACGATTCTGTGCATGTATTTAAAGAAAGTTACTATCATTTTTTCATCAGTATAAGAATTCAACAGAGTCTTAATTTATATAATAGGTACTGAAATAAAAATCAGTATATAGTTGGTAAGGATTACGTCTTTGAAATATACAGTCTGTGTTCTGTAAACATTAGGAGGTAAATACCAATTAATGTTATGTTCAGCACTAGGTAGAAAAATACGAAGGCAATTATGTGCTAAAATTAAGATCTTGTAATTCCCCATTCTTGGGTCCAGTGGTGCTGACAATTACAGTTACCGCAGGAGTAAACTGTTATTTTTCCTGTGCATTGCAAACTGCAAACACACACACACAGAAGCATTTGATGCACTTCTTACCTGCAGACGTACAGAGGATACAGCAAAGGATATTTGCAAAAAGAAGGAACTTGCTGACATAATATTACGTAAAGTGTACATTGGTTTTATGAACTATGGTTATAGGTGATAAATATTTTCACATAACTTAACATAGGATTTTCTACCAACGCTCTCAACTTTTTGTGGCAAAAATGTGTTTAACAATAATATATAATGTGCTCTCTATGATTATCTCATGAACATTGTAACTCTGAAAACAAATAAAATTATACATAAGCTATTATTTAATAATGTATGCAATTTTAAATGTGCCAGTCTCTCCTAGAAAGTTGTTAACAACACTTTTTCATATGAAGAGGAATAGATACGTTCATGTAATCACAATTAGGTACAATTCTGACTAGATGTATCAGATCTGCGGGTCAGTATGTATCAAATTCTCACTGTGGCAAAATGTAATGGGGCAGCCATTTTACTATATTGGCACTTACCACTGCAGCCGTGGTCGATCTTTCTATTAATCTTGGTTGGTTGTTTTTTTAGCATGGCCTCTAACAATTTAAAACCATGGCCAGGTTGAAAGTATTGATGATGAAGAGAAAATCCCAGAGTATGTAAAACATAGTATGAAAGGAAAAATGCTTGATTTAATGAAAGAGAACTTTGGGGCGCGGGGGGGGGGACACGACAACTTTTTATTTCACTTTAGTATGCATAGAATCGACATCATGAAATTATACATTGGTGTATGAAGTGAAACAAAGAATATACGCATGTGTCTTCATACAGCTGAAATACCTGCGCTGTTCTTCTACTGACTGAAGAGCAGTAGCTGTAAACCTACCACTGTTTGCACCGAAGCACTCTTTAAGGCCTCATTAACGACTTTTGCGATATAAATGGGAATTATAAATAGGTAGGAATTATACCTGAGGCTGGATTTGCAAATTTTTCATCTCCCTGCTAAAGCAGCACAGCTGGGCAATGTGCTGAGGAAAGAGCATGACGTCTCAGGAGGAAACTTGTAACTTCTGCAATGGGTTAGCACCGCTCTCACTTCGCACAAGTTCCTGTTAAAAGGAGGTGGAAGCAGAATTTGTTGCAGAGGCAAATACAGAATTACCATTTCCAGTACTTGCAAGATATTTGTATGTATATCATCACGATTATTTAAAGCTAGGGGTTTAGACCTTGTGATTTAGGCTTATTGGTGTGTGTACATTTGTGCGCTTCCAAGGTGAGGTAACACGCTGATGTGCGTAGGACTTTGGTGAGATAGGAAGCACCTGGTGTTAGTTTCTGAAGCAGAAGTAGATGTTCTATAACACTTTGTCACTCTTATCAACTCAGTGGTATTACGTGTAAATCACAGCAATGGTTACTTAGTATCCAAAATTATTTAATGCAAATAAAGTGACAGAGTTCAATGTGTTTCAAAATACCAGTGTAAGAAGTAGTATAGTCAAAGAAAGTGTGGGTTTGATATAATTAGTATAAGAAAGAGAGAAATGACTTTTTTTTTTTTTAATCTGTAGATTAAAATTTGTTCGCTGAGACTGTAGCTATTCATTGATTTAGGGTAGTAGTGCTACTCTGTGCCCAGTGCAGTGCCTTCATCCCCAGCTGCCTTCTGGAGCTTGGAATTCTGAGGTGGATCATGGCAAGACCAAGGTTTTCTGGGAAGAAGTCACTTCAGAGATGTTTCGTCCCTCACCTCCCTGGAAGAGTGACTAGAAAGAATGGCTACAAAACTGGGGAAAAAACATCAGGAATAATCATCTCTAGTCATGAAGCAGGAGAATATCAGAGAGCTCTGCTGAATAATGACAAAACAGATGCTCCAAGTTATATATGAAAGGGGTGGGTCACCTTAAGGCAGCCCAAGGAAATGGTGGTGCAGGGCCAGGGAGGCCAGGTGAAGGCACTCAGGGCTAATAAGCAGTGCTAAGGAAGTTAATTGGATGGAGCTAGAGACACCTATTTAGGGTTGAAGGGCTCAGGAGGTTTCTTTCTTTCATGGGGAGAAAGTTTGTCTGACAGGAGTTAGGCCCAAGAGAATGAGGAACAACTGAGCCCTTAGCATGAAGGCAGAAGGACTTGTGAGTGAAGCAGAGAACCAAAGGATAGTCAAAGGAAGGTAAAGGACTTGCTGGGGCTTCATTTATTTCTAAATGCTTTTATATCCTGGGGAAAAAAAAAAAAAAGATGTTTTCCCTTGCAGCTAAATAGCAGTTTTGCCAATTGCTAAGCAGTTAGCAGGAAAACAGATAAATACATTTAGAAAGCTGAGGTGGGCCTGAGAAGTGCTGCTCAATGTTTTATGCAAGAGCGGTGAAGAACGTGTCAGCCCCTTGTCGGATAATTGCTGCTCGTCTCTAGCTCCACCAGGTCTGAAAGCATTTTGTTTTCCCTCCTCTGTCCATAAGGAAGGAAACTTCTTGTGGTCCTGCTGAGGTGAGTAAAAGCCTTACTGTAGCCCTGGAGGGAAAATAAATAAAACATAGGCGAGATCTGGAAGCTGAATCTGTTAATGAGTTATAAAGTAATAGGTTAAATTTGGTGGTGTACAAGGCTTTGAGGGTGTGCTGTGCAGCCATGACTGATGGTACAAAGTCTCTTCAGGTCTTGACCTCTTCAAGAGGGGTTTTTATTCCAGGGGCTAGAACATCTCTCTGGTAAGGGACTTAGGTCTTTTTAGTCTGGAGAAGAGGGGGTTTTCATTCCAGGGGGCTAGAACATATCTCTGGTAAGGGACTTACCAGAGTCCCATAAGAGAAGACTGAGGGGGGATCTGATCAACGTCTATAAATACTGAAAGGGTGGGTGTCAGGAGGACGGGCCCAGTCTTTTTTTGGTGGTCCCCAGTGCCAGGACAAGAGGTAACTGGCACAAACTTGAACATAGAAAGTTCCATCTAAACATGAGGAGGAACTTTATTTTGAGGGTGGCAGAGCCCTGGGACAGGCTGCCCAGACAGGTGGTGGAGTCTCCTTCTCTGGAGACATTCAAACCCCACCTGGACATGTTCCTGTGCAACCTGTTCTGGCAGGGGGGTGATCTCCTGAGGTCCCTTCCAACCCCATATCATTCTGTGATTCTATCTGTCAAGATTTGCTGGTGTCTGCCCAACCTGGGCTTGTGCCTTGGGGAGCCTCCTGGCTTTTATACCCCATTTGCTCTCAGACTATGGAATTTCAGCTCATTTTGAAATAAGGAGGATTGATCTTTCCTGTTCTGATTTGTGTGCCTGTGGCATGGATACAGGTGGAGCTTTCCCATTATCAGGTTAATTTTACAAGTGTAGCTGAAGCAGAGAAACTTCTCTATGACCATTGACTTCCATTATGTGATACTGCCCCACAGCTTGAAACTAAAAATAGGAGACAATACGTTGTAGGCATCTAGAATCTGGACATGGTAGTATTTCAAAGGCTGTTTTTTTTTTTCCTTTCTGATTCATGAATCAATTTTCAGCTCATTTTGAAATAAGGAGGGTTGACCTTTCCTGTTCTGATTTGTGTGCCTGTGGTATGTATACAGGTGGAGCTTTCCCATTATTTTACAAGTGTAGCTTGTTAATTTCCCAGGTTAATTTTACAAGTGTAGCTGAAGCAGATTTCAGCTCATTTTGAAATAAGGAGGATTGATCTTTCCTGTTCTGATTTGTGTGCCTGTGGCATGGATACAGGTGGAGCTTTCCCATTATCAGGTTAATTTTACAAGTGTAGCTGAAGCAGAGAAACTTCTCTATGACCACTGACTTCCATTATGTGATACTGCCCCACAGCTTGAAACTAAAAATAGGAGACAATACGTTGTAGGCATCTAGAATCTGGACATGGTAGTATTTCAAAGGCTGTTTTTTTTTTTCCTTTCTGATTCATGAATCAAAGACACTACCTGAGAAGCACCTCAGGGCTCTCTTTAAAAATGACTCATAGGAAGAATAAGTGATAATCATCAGGCTTTGTTATTTATAGAAAGGTGGTAGCTGTGTTGATGGTAAAACGGAAGTTTCATAGTGAGGTGCCTGTTGCTAATAAATGTGGAAAATCATTTGCTGGGTCTGAGCGAGAAGCAAAGATTTTGAATTTTCAGCTCAATTTTTAGTCTAAGGTTGATAATGACTGAAACTACTTAGCTGCCCACTGGCCTATTTGAAATATGCATTTGTTTGGGGTTGTCTTGTTTGTTTGTTTTTACCTGGTGTTAAATTCATGTGTTGTGAAGCAAAATAGCAATTTGCATTAATAAGTAACTTTTCTGGACAAGGAAGTGAACTCTTCTTACTCTGTTGGTGAAACTCATACTTACAGGTCACTTTCTGCCTGCCAATAAGAAAATACAAGTTGTCAGCCTTCAGCCCTGTCAGCCTATTTACATTAAGTCCAAAAAAAAGAATATGTAATAACAATTCCCCTTTAAACTGTTTGAATCTGCAGAAAGGTAATGGTGATTTTTATATCCCTCAGTGAGGCAATCGGACTTTGCAAAATGAGCATCAGCACTGTACTTTCTGCCCAACCATGAGGTTGGCTGTTGCAAGTAGTTTTGACTGTGATGGTTTGTTGTTTCGTTGGGTTTTTTTAGTAATATGAGTAAGTTACAAACCTCTCTTTTTACCCCAGGTTTATAAGAACTAGAACTTTGATTCAGGCACATATTTTATATGTTTATGTTGTACACATAAGTAAGCGAGCAAGCAAATGCAGGAAGATCTATTCCATTTGACCTGAACTTTACTTCCATATGTTTAAATTCTGTCCTGCTACTGAAGGAAAAGCCAACAACTCATTAATTTTAGGTAGATTGGGAGGGTTTTAGGGAAAAACGGGCATGTTGGGTTCTTCTCCTAAGTAGTATGACCTCGTTACAACAATATATACATGTAGATTAAGGAATTTTCACCATCTGTTAATGGTTCAATATAATTACTTCACAAGAAGTTTTAAAAGCTTTGGTTCGACTATCTATTCTACAAAGTCAAGCCTGGCATTGAGATGCAAATTAAGGCCTTCAGACTTTGTCACTAGCTCTGGTCAAAAATTCTTTAGCCTCTCTTTCAGCAAAACACACAAAACTGTGGGGAGCAACCTACGCTCCCCCATCAATCTATTTTTCACTGGATTTACATTTCAGAGCAAAATCAGATTTACCTCTTCAAATGTCAAAATATTTTGCACTTGAATGTCAAAAGGAAATGTAAGGCTGTAATTTGTTTCTTTCATTAATTCTGTTTCATTAATGTAGTGATTAACATTGTAGTATAGTTAACTTTTCACTTTAAA